TTACGTGCGTCGGCACAACAGCTGTGGTAAAAACATTGGCCACGGTTAAAACTGTCGTCTCTAAGCTTTTACCACATTTTTGTGTGTGGTAAATAAAAAAATGTGTGGTTAATGGTGTTTTTAACGACAGTTATACTACCATCGCAAAAAAAAATTATGGTCCATGTGCAGTTTATGTGCATTTTTCTTGTAGTGCCAGTTCAGACCAGACCAGACCAGACCGGACTTGGATAGTTATAAAAATACAAAGAAACCAGACCAGACCAGACCAGACCAGACCAGACTTGGATAGTTATAAAAATACAAAGAAACCAGACCTTACCAGACCAGACCAGTTCAGACCAGACCAGATCAGACCAGACCAGACCAGACCAGACCAACAAATTACTACCAAATCATGTGTTATCATCTCAATTTTTTGTGACAATTAAATATTTACGCATGAGTACTTTTAAAATTTGAATGATTAGTTCATAATAAGCTAATTTAATTTTGTATGTCTATCTCACTTCTGTATAGTCGTTAATTCCCTAATAAGCTAATTAACACCAAATATTACTCATGAATACTTTCAGGAGATTTATTGAATTATAACCTAATATATATGTAGTTCTAAATTTAAGGAAGGACTTTATTAAAAACGTTTATAATTGAATTGATTTTTTTTCTCATTTGTCTGTTTTGATCAGATCTGGTCTGATTTGTATGGTCTAATCTGGTCCGTTCATATTATGTGAGCATATATTTTTTAACTCCTTTTGTCAAACAAATTTACCCCATCCAACTAATAGTTCAAATGCAACATTTCAAAATTCAGCTCTGGACAATAGTCTCTAGTTCAAACAGTATTCTTAATCTAGATATTAGCTTCCACCTCCATCTCGAAGTGCCACACATATCCCTAATCTATGATCCCGTTTGGTGACCCTTATTTACAGCTTATCGTACAACTTTTTTTATTTATTATCAAACACGTTGTTTCAACTTCGGGCTCTGAATTGAGAAATAATCAAAATAGTTCATGTTAGAATTATTTTTTGGCCGAAGTGATTGAAATTGTTGTAGAGCATCACTCTAGTTATTTTTCATGTAATTTTCTCTTAAACTTATAACTAATCAATAGTTTAGCTAATGTAGCCACTTTAGTCATAATTTCATATTTTCAGCAAGTTTATCTACGCGGCCAATCTCAGTGTTACCAAAGTGATTGTATCTATCCAAATAAAGAATTGCTTTATGCACCCCTTAGAATTACTAAACCTAAGCGAAGTAAGACAAATTTACCCTTTGTAATTTTCTTTTACTAAGATTGCTTCTTATACGGATGGAAAGTTGTTTATTTTTTTTAATTCATAATGTTCATTGTTTTTCAATCTTTTTCAAAGTTTTCTTTTGTCAAATAAATTTAAAATTTTAAAAATACAACAATTTAAAAATAGATATAATATCATGACAATGTTTAAAATAAAACATCAAAGGAGAATATATTAAGCTAAGGATGTTTTTAATTGGATTGATTGTTTTTTTATTTGGTCTGATCTAGTAAATGACTGATCTTTGTATATTTTATAACTCTCGAAGTGTGGTCTGGTCTGGTCTAGTCTGCTTAAGTATGGTCTGCTCTGATCCATTTAAGTCTGATCTAATTTAGTCTAGTTTGGCTTGGTCTCAAGCTGAAAACAATCCAAGTAAAAAGCAACTTAAATATGTGATTTTGCTCTATAAATGACCACAATTAAACACAATTCATGAAAAATGCATTCACATTGTTATAATAAGATGAACTTTTTCTTTGGAGGAAAAAAAATGAATTTTATGTACCAACAAAAGTGCATTGTTTGAACATAAATTTAGGGCGAATTTTACACAAACAATTCAATTATTTATATATTTATAAAAATAATCCCTACTGGAAACATTCTAAAAAATATAAAAAATAAGATTATAAAAACTGCAATACTTGTTTTACACATGGAATACATGTACCTTAAGTTAATTTATACTTCGTAATAGCTTTTTAATTGAAGTTAAATATCTTATTAATTGAATTAAAAAAATTTGGTCTGAATTGATTTGATCTAATCTGACATGGTCTAATCTGGTCTGTTTATCTTTGATCTTGTCTAAATTGGTATGTTCTGGTAAATATCTGATATATAGATATTGAGAAAATTATACCCGTACATAAATAATGTATAAAACTTTGCTGGATTCTAATAGATCACGACAAAATTTTCATAATTCATAATTGCCTTTTAAAATATATAAATAGTACATTTCAAAGAAACAAAATTTCCATAATTCATAATTGCATTTTAAAAATCTATAAATAGTACATTTCAGAAAGACAATTATGGAAAGTTTTTTCATGTGTTATCTTCAAAAAGTAATACGTGGTTCAAATAATTATTGGAAAAGAAATATTAAAAATAATTTTTTTAAACTGCTATACTTCTTTGGAATACACGTATCTAAATTTAATTTATAATAGCTTTTATTACTCATTGTATATCACACCATGTGTGCGTGTTGTGTGTGTATTACAAAGAATTGTTCAAGATATTATTCCTCACTTTTCACAAGATAATAAAATAATACTCCGTAGTTTTAAATAAATCTAAAAAATATTCATATATGTTTAAGCCTAGAAACTTTTTGCCCTATTAAAACATTTTTATTACTCTTATTGGTATTATTATTCGGAGTATGACAACGTTAGAATGTTAAGAATGTTTGAGGAGATTTCTTCCAATATAAATGGAGTTCAAAATTTTAGGAAGGACTCCTTTAAAGTAGGGCTGGGACTTTGGAACCAAAAACCGGAGAACCGAACCGGACCGAACCGTTATGACCCGGTTCGGTTCGGTTCCAAAATTTATTAGTTATTTGTTAATGGTTCGGTTCGGTTCCAAAATTTATTAGTTATTTGTTAATGGTTCGGTTCCTACTTTTTATTAACGGTTCGGTTCTCGGTTCCTGTAAAAAATATGTACGTGGAACCGTTAAGGAACCGTTATATATAATAATTAAAATTATATATATTTCTTATTAGTATATATATATATTTTAATGTATATTTACTTATCTATTTTCATATTACATTCACTATTTTAGTTTAGTTATTTAACTATTTGAAATTATTTTTCATTTAACTGGTTTTATTGGGCTTCTTTACCGGTGTTTTGTTTTTGTTTTCTAAAATTTGCAGTTTGTTATGTATTTATCTTTTAAACTCAACTTTTGAGGTTTGAAATGAAGTTCAACATATTTGTATTGTAATTTCAAGTGTTGAATGTATTTTTGACACAAATTTAACCGTGATTTGTAAGATTTTTTTTAAATACTAGGAACCGTTAAATGACAAGAACCGAACCGTTAAGAACGGTTCGGTTCCTTATCGGTTCTACAAAATAATCTATAAGAACCGAACCGTTAGTAAAATTTCATATTTTCAAACGGTTCCACATATTTCGCCTAGGAACCGAACCGGTCCCAGGCCTACTTTAAAGATGTTTACAATTGAGCTGAAATTTCAGGTATGGTCTGATTTGATCTGACTGGATCCAATTTGTTTATTGCGAAAAATTTACACAAATAATGTATAGAACTTTGATGAATTCTCATGCCAAAACTTCCATTATTGACAATTGTATCTCAAAAGTCTTAATTTAATATGGAGTTCTAAATATTAGGGAGGACTCTTTTAAGAACACTTTTAATATATAGAAATTGCCTTAAATAGGAGTAAACACGTTTTGAAATTACAAAATATGACTTTCATGTTTTTATTCTCTAAATGAGAGTAATTCGGCCCAGTTTGAAAAAATGTCATGTTTAAATCCTAGTATTGAAAAACTTGACAGAAATTTATTCCTATTCAGGGAATAAAAAACATTATAGTCCTATTTTGAAATTTCAAAACTTTTTTTATTCCTATTTTGGGAATTTTCTCTACTTTTAAATGAGCTAAAATTTATTGATCTGATCTAATCAAATCTTATATGTTTATTGAGAAAAAATTACACAAATAATGTTTACAATTGAACATGACATAATTAATTTTAATTTATTGTAACGTAAAATGTTTAGCAAGTTTTAGGCAGCTTTTTTAATTACGTAGCTTTAGAATAGGATATGGGAATTGTGTAGGATAAATGATTGCTAATGTTTGAGTTCTAATATAATCCAACTTAAATATTGCTTTAAAAAAAATCCAACCTAAATATAAATGTAAGGAAGTATTATTAAAATATACGGAGTACCAAAGTGGATAGGAAATCTTGAATATTATAAAAAGTGTTAAATTATTTTTTTATTTTTATATATTCAATATTGGTCTCATATGGAAGATAATAAAAAGTTATAAATTATGGTATATTTTTGGTAACCATAAAAGTACAAATTTAAAAGTTGTAGCACTTTAAAATAAATATGAGATTTTATTTTTTGAATTACCTAGCTTTAAGGATGTTTTCTTTTGGACTGTTTTCAGTCCCAGACCAGACCAGACTTAAACAGACCAGACCAGACCAGACCAGACTTAAACAGATCAGACCAGACCAGACTTAAACAGACCAGACCAGACCAGACTTCCGTAGTTATAAAATACACAGAGACTAGACGTTTACCAGACCAAACCAGACCAGACCAGACCAGACCAGACTTAAACAGACCAGACCAGACCAGACCAGCAAATTTCAGTCCAAAAGAAAACATCCTAAGAGGTTTTCTAAATTAACGTTAAATGAGTTACTTTAATACTAATTAACGGAAGTATAATTTATTTATTACTAAATTGGAGAGAAAATCTAAAATATTATAATCAAAGTTTGATTAGAAGATGACACATGGCAAAACTTTCCATAATTGTATCTTTGAAATATGTTTTATCTATAGATAGATGTAATCATATAATAATAACAGAATTTTGGACTCCTAGATATATAATCGGCCCATATTCATTCAAATTAATAAACCCTAGGCTGCTAGGCAAGTGATACGTTCTACCGGTCTACCCAACACCACCGCATCCAGAGTCTGCTACACCCATTGTCACACAGTCAATCTACACACTCTCAAAACAATAGCTCCGCCTGCGTTCGTAAGTTTTTTTTTTTTTTTTGTCATTTATTTCCTTAAATCTTTTCTTGTAGTTGAATTTTTTTTTACTACGTATTTGACAAACATCTACATCTGATACCTCCATGAATTGTACACTTTTTCTAAAGATAACCTCATATTCACTATGGCGGATATTTTATGATTTTATGATCTAACAATGTACTATTTCAAAAAAGAATAAGGTATTGGGAGTATGACATGCGATTGTATAACTTAACTTTATTTGGAACTAATGTTTACAATCATCTTTAGAAGTTATATATTTTGAAAAATTATATATTTTGAAAAACCAAACACCCTTTCTTATAATTTTTATATCCATTCCTAGCATTTTTAGTACCCATTGCCGTCTAGTTCTCTTATTTGATTTGCTAATATTTATGACCGAATTTATTTTTACCCTTTGATGAATCAAGAGATACTCAGTTCGTTTTTTTAGAAACGCTGTTTTTAAAATTTATGGGACCTTTGTCAAAATAAGGGAAAAATAATTAAAATATCCCAAATTTTGAAGGGTGTGAGATAAATACCCCAAACTTTCATATGTCATTTAAATACCCTAAATTTTATATAAAAAGTTATTTTAACACCTTGGTCATATGTAATTTTTTTCAAAAATATATATTTATGTTGTTAATTGAATAGTTTAGAATAAAAAAAATTTAAAAACACTCCAATTATATAGAGTGGGAGTAGTATTATTTATTTTACAATGGAAGTTTATAATGTTAATTGTATCTTCATGAATGCTAAAATATTTTAAATTATGAAATTAACACCAAAAACTAACATTTTTTAAATAAATAATACATGACCATGGTGCTAAAATAACTTTTTATATAAAGTTTAGGGTATTTATATCTAGGGAACTCTTCCGGTAAGGTATACCTTACCGGAGCCTCCGTGCGGCCTCTACGTTTTGAGGGCCTTCCTGGTGGAATTTTTTGATGAAATTTTTTGAGCATGTTCTTCATCAAGTCTAGTACATCCATACAAAATTTCAACAAAAAATTCAATCGGGAAGGCAGTCAAACGATTTTTGGAAGATAACTGCACCCTTTATATACATATAAAACACAGTTATCTTCCAAAAATCGTTTGGCTGCCTTCCTGATTGCATTTTTTTGCTGAAATTTGGTATGGATGTACTAGGCGTGATGATGAACATGCTCAAAAGATTTCATCGAAAAATTCCACCGGGAAGGCAGTCAAACGATTTTTGGAAGATAACTGCACCCTTTATATACATATAAAACACAGTTATCTTCCAAAAATCGTTTGGCTGCCTTCCCGATTGCATTTTTTTGCTGAAATTTGGTATGGATGTACTAGACGTGATGATGAACATGCTCAAAAGATTTCATCGAAAAATTCCACCGGGAAGGCCCTCAAAACGTGGAGGCCGCACGGAGGCTCCGGTAAGGTATACCTTACCGGAAAGATTTACTTATATCTATATCTATATCTATATCTATTCTATTCTATATATTATACAATTGAAGGTCACATTGACATGTGTCATTCTATTATGTTTCATTGCCATGTGTCACTCTTTTAGTTACTATCAGCCACATGTGACTTGTCATTACATAAATCCGTTTCATATCTACACACGTTTATAAGGTTTATTATACTAAGTAGGAATACAGAGTAATTATTAGTCTTCATTTTTACTTGGAAAGTTAGGTCTTACGTTTCACGTATAGGATATATTGTAATAATTACTGATGCTCATGCATTTTTAGGAAGTTAAGTCACTAATGTTCAATGTATAATCTACATATCATACGTATTATATAGTTCCTTATTATTATTATAAAGTATTATTCATGGAAAGTTAGGTAACTTATATATATAAAGTGTAATTCTAACCCCCAATAATTTAATTTAATAATATAGGAGTAGTAATTATGAGTCTTTTAGAGTACGGTTCATCTTTCTTAAATAGGTTTGTTTATTTAAAAGTTATCTTTAAGCTTAAAATTTCTATTGCCGAAAATATTTTTATGTTAACTATGTACGATTTTTTCTCTAAATTTAATCCTATTAACGCAAGAATCCAATACATTTGTTCCTGAATTGATAAAATTCATTTGTTTGAAGATTTATTTTATTTATTTAAAGTCAATAAGGGTTAATTTAATTTGCTCCTTTTAGGAGTATTTTATTTGGAGGTATTTTTGCACCTTTTAGACTATCCGCAACCACCCTCTGTCAATAACATAAATTTCCAATCAGTTTATACCAAAATTATGTATTCTCTCTGTCAATTTAATTTTTCTCTACAATCCAACATCATCAATATATTCACCTAACGTAATTTTTTAAATTAAATCATATGAAAGATCATTAAAAAATATATACAATTTGATATGTTTTTTATAAAAATTGGAATACAAATAAAAAAATTATACAAACTTTTAAAAAATATTCATTTTTATCATTAACTCTACCACCTACTTTTTGTCCATCTTCCCACACGTTTCTTCATCTTTTTTTCTCTCTCTCCTGGAATGAAAAGTGGGTTGGTAACTCCCCACTCAAAGCTGTCATATACCCATTACCCCCTCTTCAAATACCAAGGTTGTATGAAATATTGGGGTGAATAGGTCAAATATATCCTTTTCACTCCTCGATTGCAAATGAGTCAAGTGTCAAATTGGTACTCGAAATTGCATAAAAATGGTCAAATAAGTCTTTATATAGGAGGCTCAGTCCGTCCGTCACCATTTTGGGCGGTTCCCGGTGGAATATTTTGACGAAATTTTTTAAGCATCTTATTCATTAAGTCTAGTTTACTCATACCAAATTTCAGCTAAAAATTCAACCGGGAAGACATTCAAATGAATTCTTGAAGATTATTGGGCAGTTAAAAACGCAATTATCTTCAAGAATTCATTTGAATGTCTTCCCGGTTGAAGTTTTAGCTAAAATTTGGTATGAGTAAACTAGACTTAATGAATAATATGTTCAAAAAATTTCATCAAAAATTTTACCGGGAACCGCCTCAAATGGCGACGGCCGGACAGTAAGGACTTATTTGACCCTTACCTCGATTGCAAATGGGAGTTTTCCCCGGAGAAGGGTACTTTCTAATCTTATTTCCTAAAATAGGGTACTTTTAAACTTATTTCTCTCTCACCACACCACACCACGTCAGCACCCGAGCTAAATTCGACTTCCACGTCATCTACCCACCACATCACTAGTCCATGTCATCACATATACACTATCCTATTAAAATAACAAAAATCGAAACAAAAGTGGATCGAACCCACGCCGAAAGCGTAGAGTTCTTCGCATTACACCAGTGCACCATTATCATTACAAGGTAATGTATTACCCGAGTATATTTTAATCTACTTCTATTCTTCCAGATTTTGTTTAATTGAAACCAACGGCTCCTCCACATTATTATTACTACTATTGGTATTACTATTATTACTATTCTTACTAGTATTGTTGTTGTTGTTATAATAATAATAATAATAATAATAATAATAATAATAATAATAAGGGAGAATTTGACTTTGCACCCCACTTTTTGGGTGATATTGATCTTTGCACCCCATTTTAAAAAACCTTTGACTTTGCACCCTATCATATAACATTTGTGAAGGAAAATTTCTAAATAGGGTGCAAAGTCAAAGGATTTTGAAGTGAAACAGGGTGCAAAATCAAAGTTTTTTTAAAATGGAGTGCAAAGTCCAATATCATCCAAAAAGTGGGGTGCAAAGTCAAATTCCCCCTAATAATATCAATTATTATGTTCAATACAATAATAATAATAATAAAATAATTATTATTTATCCAATAAGATAGAGTAATCATATTATCCACTACGAGGCTCTAATAATATACAGTATATAGTAGCGCGAAAAAGACAAGCATCGCCCAAATTAAGCTGGTTTGACGAGAATCCCGTCCGGCCGACTTCCAAATATGATTTTAATGAAATTAATATTAACCGTTAGATCTGTGTATTATATACTCTCGCTGTCTCTATTTAAAAATCATTAGCCAAATTTAAAATATCAAATAAGTGATCGTACTTACAAATATTATTTATTTGATGGTTTGATATTAGTTTTTAATGTCTTAAATGACTAGAATTCTTGTAAAAAAAGTGACTTTATATTATTTTTGTTCTACATTCTGATTATGTATGATCATAAATATGCATTTTACCATACAAATAATTACAGTATAAATATTTGCATAATATGCATCTACCTGTCTTTTGTATATACATGTCTTTTATTGATATAGTGTACGTGTCTTTTAAATACACATGTCTAGCACCATATGAATAGAAATATAGGTTTAAATATATGACATCAGTGTAACGACAAGCTACAGTGGTCCAGTGGTGTTCAATCCCCATTGGCTTCATTTTTCGTTATTTTCATACGATATCCATGATGACATGGACTTGTGATGTAGCAGGTAGATGATGTGGAAATTGAATTTAGCTCGGGTGCTGATGTGGTTTGGTGACGGGAAAAAATACCTCTATTTGGGAAATAAGTTTAAAAGTCTCATACTTTGGGAAATAAGATTAGAAAGTACCCTACTTTGGAAAAAAAACTCTTGCAAATGGTCTTAGAAGATCAGGTTTATATTTGTACCTCCACATATACTTCAGAGGTATATTTGCACATTTCCCTCATTTTAAAATATCATATACAATGTCGCAAACTATTTTGAATAACCACCTTTTCCCTTATATGTTGTCAATAAAACGTATTATGCCATGTGAGGTTAATTACACGCTTTCTATCACTAGGTCTGACATTATTGTATCTTCATCTCAAGTCGTCACTTAGCTTCCTACATTACACATCAAAAAATTCAGCAGAAGAGTTTCTAGCTATAAAACTAATGAAATTGTCACTCTCAAAGACTATCAAGAGGTTTTGATTGACTAATATTTGTCTATTCATATGGACTAAGTATATCTAAATATTTGCAATATTAAGATGGGACACTAGGAGTAAGAAATTTAAGGCCATAGGATGGTTAAGAATATTCTCATGCAATCATTATTAGGATGTTTTAAACCTTTGAGAGCCTAAGAAACTTAAGGCCATAAAAAGCGTAAAATATATCTTCCACATAATATATTTGACAAAACCATGTATTTATTTATATGCAAGAAGCTTATATTAATAAATTTATTCTTAATTTTCATATTTTATTATCATGTGCATTGCACGGTAGAATACTAGTTTAACTTACATATGCAAGTTTGGGGGTGCTTACCTCACACCCTTTCAAAGTTTGGGGTATTTTCATTATTTTTCCCTTAAAATAATCACTTATTCTGAAGTATAGTAAATAGTAAATTTGTTAGAATAAGTGGTTGACCTTTGTTAAAATATAATGTGCCTGATTTTTTTTGTGTGCCTGAATTTAATGTGCATACCCAAAGAGTTCTTGGCAAGCATTATTCCATAGAGTAAATGTGTATATTGACCTCATATCTTGCCATTTATTATAGTCAGGCACTAACAAAAATATATATTTAAATATGCTAGAATGTATAAACAAACAATTATACAATCCTCATGATAATCTCTTCTTTGTTTCAAGGTCGTTTCAAGATTTTCCCAACCCCACCATACATTCCCTAATGCAGCCTTCCTCGGAGGATCTGATAACCCAAATGCAAGCTCAAATGATCCAAGTTCAAGTTCAGATGACCCAAATGAAATCTCAAATGACCCAAGAGCAGGCACAAATGCAGGCCCAGTTTGACCTGATGCAGAACCAGATTCTAATGCTTGGTGCTGAAACAAAGGCTGCACGTGCCCGCGCTTACAATGCCACTCGACTGGACAACATCCGCCCTGTAGTCAAAATTATGAGCGGCCATCCTGCCCCAAACCCTCCCCAACACTTCAATTTTGATCAAACTGAATATGTTGTAGGTGCAAATCCACCCATTGGCCTGGTTCCTGACAATTTCAATGATATCTGTCATCTTGAGCATGATCAGTTAGACTGCATCCATTGGTTCTATAATGAACCATCACTCGTTAAAGGTTCATACACACTGCTTCATCGTCATGGCCAAATAGCTGCTTATCTGATGGCCTAATGTTTGGGATGATAAGTAGTTGGGAGAGGAAGCATGTGTGAGAGGAAACAGGAGAAAGATGCTAAATAATGTTGCAGTTTTTGTGATGTTGCTTTGGGACTGTTTTGTGTAACATTGATTTCTAATGTGATGGACATTTCTGTTTTCCAAAATTGGATACTTTTATGTGGTTACTTTAAAGTTTTTAAAGATCAGATTGTTGTTTTGTTGTATACATTGGTTTTGAAATGATATTCCGTTGAAAAAAAACAAGACTCTTCTTTGTTTATTATTTTAATTTTTTTTTATCAAAGTTCTGCCCCTGCAATCAGCTCTTTCAATAATAAGGAGTAGTTCAGAGAGTGACGAGAGCCGTGCTGACATTGAGGCAGATGAGGCGTGGGCCTCAGGGCCCCAAAAATGTTAAAATTTTAGGGCCCAAAATTGTAGATACTTTTGTAGTATATACAAGTATATGTATTTAATTTACAAATAGGCCTCCTTTCCCATACATTAGTCCGTTGATGGCCTGCTGTACTTCAAACGACAAAACCAAATTACCAAATTTAACCAAGTGCAACAGCCGCCAGCAGCACATGTTGAAGGGGGGGGGGGGGGGGGGGATAAGGTGATTTGCAATTCCGCCTGGTTCGGCAAGGGAGCAAAAGTGAATAACTCAAGTCTCGAGGCCAATCTTTCACTTTTTTGCCTACCTTCTAAATTTCTACCCCGTAGTACTATTTTTAACTTCCGGAATCGTTATAATTTACAGTTTTACACATACACAGTACCAACTGAAAAATACAATTAAAGGGTTTAAACCTACCAAAACACAAAAACTCCTGTGAATTGTGATTTTTTGTGTTAGAAACTTGAGAAGTAGGTCGGTGGAGAATGATGGAATTTAGGGCTAATTTGAGTTTGCACTCCATTGCGTTGTCCAAATTGGATTTTGCACTACGTTTTTTAAAATCTTTATAATTGCACCCCAATCCTGTATGAAAAGACAAAAATGTCCTTCCATTAACAATTCTGTTGTCATCCGACATATCCTGATCGAGGGCATTTTTGTCTTCTCATACAGGATTGGGGTGCAAATACAAAGAATTTTTGAAACGAGGTGCAAAGTCCAATTTGGACAATAAAATGGGGCGCAAACTCAAATTACACCTTGAATTTAACTATTAACTACTATTAATCATTATTCATATACATAGTAAAAAATATGTTAAGAATTTTATGATTTTACTCCATTCAAATGTTTTTAGATTCTAAACTTACAAAGCCGTTTATCATCTGGTGTATATTACTCCCTCCATATTTTAATGTTTGCTACACTTTCTTTTTTGGGATATATTTAAAAAATTTGTTACACTTTTCCTTATTGTTAAGTTTTTCCTTTAAAAATACTCATATACCCACCCTTACTCTTTCTACTTTTTATCTCTCTTTCATACTTTTCCATCATTTTCCCCGCTTTTTCTACACTATTCATTATCCCTACTATTTTACGCTTAAATAATGTGTGCAAAGCTATTGTAGTGAACATTAAAATACGGAGGGAGTATGAAATTGTATATATTATGAGACTTGAAAGTCAAAGAGCTTTTGGCCGAAATTTAACTGGATATGCAGAATTGAAAACTTTTTTTACTTGATTTTTGCTTTTCAGATATTTAAATTTAAATGTTTTAATTGGTTACATTGTATAATATGGTGACTGATGGAGTATATGGCCCAGGAACCCCCGGCCCATAGACTCCTACTTCTCCTACACAAGTCCATTGAGCTCAGGAAACAACTCAGGCCCAAATACAACGGCCCAAGCCTCAAAGAAGCCCAGAATACACACTGGGGTGCCTTCGGCCTCCTTGGCCGAAGGCTCCAGAAATTCACAAAGTAGCCCTCTCTGACATACGAAGCCATTGGGAGAAAACGGCGAAAAACATGAGCCTTCGGCATTACCAAGCCCTCGGCATTAGGGGAGCCTTCGGCTGAACTTAGTCCTCTGCCACTCGGGGCCTTCGGCTACACAGGGGTCCTTGGTTACACGGAGCCCTCGGCTACACAAGAAGCCTTCGGCCAAACGTGCTCAATCATCGAAGATTCCTTTTGGGGACAGCCAACCACCGCATTTAATGCCACGTCACATCCGCCAACCGCATTCAATGCGGTGAACGTACCACTGCCGGTGCCACCAGGCTGATGTGACCCTTCGGCCGTTGGATTACTGACACGTGTACTCTCATCGCATTTATTGCCGCTATAAATAGCAGCCCATTTCTCCGTGTAATCGACATGATCTACATCTCAACTCCACAGGCTGAGTTCATTTAATAAAATCGACTCTCTCTCCTCCTATTTGCTCTGACTTCTCTCTAGTTATTCCCGCAATAACCCCTCGGATAAGATACCCCCCGGGTAGACTATCCATCATTTGGTGCTCTCGTTGAGAGGTCAGAACAATCAAGTGAGAAACCCTCCCCCTCTACCAAATACAGAACACTTACCAAAAATGGGAAGAACCACCCGTGCCCAGTCCAAAACCCTCGAGGAGAACCACGTAGCCCCCGGCGAAACCAACGGGGCTGAGGCCTCCAACAGGCTCTTGGTACCCGAGGGTGGTATCATCCTTGAGTTGGAGCAGGCTACTGCTGACCTCCGTCAGCAACTACAGAAGAACGCCCCTGATGCCCGCATTGGCCTTGATAATCGAAGGAGGGATCGGAGTGAGAACCAAGTTCCCCCTCCGGCCCCGGCCATCGATCTTCAGGCTGCCTTTGCGGCCTTTGTTCAAAACATGGCTCTCAATTCCGGAGCCCTCGCCTCTCAGACACCCCTTCAGCCCTATGCTGGAGGGAATGTTATCAACCTACCACCACTCCCTCCTTTGTTCAACAATCCTCCCCCGGGGATTGGCAATGCCGAGGGGGTCATGGCGCAGGATACCGCCTCCCAAGAGGCCCAGTCCAGGGACAAGCGCCCCATGATGAAGGAGAAGCCCCGAACCTCTGCACTTGAGAGGCTCGGGGGAGCTCCCGGGCACCGAGTGGTCCAAGACCGCCTCGGGAAACAAGCGCTCAGCAGGCCCCAGGAAAGTGGAGCCTCCGCTTTGGGTGCCGAGGGCGTGCCTCCCCCCCGAAGCAAAGGCAAAGCTCCCCTTCATGCCGATGATGCCAGGCACCAAATCACGCAGGCACAATCCTTCCGGGCCAACTCCCAAGGGGTTGCCCCGAAGGATCCCAAGGACGAAATCATTGAAGCCCTCCTCCGTCAACTCGAGGAAAATCGTCAGGCACCCCCGACGGCTTCCACAGCAAGGCCGGATCCTGAGTACGCCGACCTCCGGGCGCAGGTGGAGGAAATGAAGCGTAAGCTTGCCGAAGGCTCAGGCGAGCCCCTCATTCAACTCCGTACTAGAACACCCTTCACCCCAAGGGTGTTGGCGGCCAAAATCCCCCACAAATATCGGGGGCAACCCATCAAGCCGTATGAGGGGAAGACGGATCCTCAAGAGCACTATAGCCGCTATCAAAATAGCATGATGATGATGGGGGCCTCGGATGAATACTTATGCCGTTGGTTCCTTTCCACCTTGGAGGGGCCCGCGTATGAGTGGTTCAACCGACTGCCCGAAGGCAGCATTGATTCTTGGCAAGAACTTGCCCACCGCTTCCTTACACAATTTGCAGGGAGGCACCGCTCAAAGAAACACTTCTCCCACCTCCTAAACGTGAGACAACAGAAGGAGGAAACCCTTCGGAGTTTCCTAGAGCGCTGGAGGCAAGCCTCCCTCGAGGTGGAAGGCGCTGATGACCGGACCCTGATGGCGCTCTTCCACACCGTCCTCCGCAACGGTAACTTCTCCAGGAGTCTCATCACCGATCCTCCCCGCGACTATACCAAGGCCCTTCAGCGGGGGGACCGATACGCCGAAGCAGAAGAGATCGAGAAGGACCGCCGCAACACAGATCCTTCCCAGAAAAATGAGGGCAGAAATCGGCCCAGAGGACCTCCTCCTCCGGCCAACCACGAGGCTCGACATAATGATCGCCCCCGGGGTGGCCAAGCCAGACCCGGGGGCGGTTACAAGAATAATCCGAAGGCATGGGCGCAACCCGTCCTCCTTGAGCACCCACGCACCCCCTTGACGCATTCCGTCAGCGTCATTCTTGATCATGCGGAAGAGCGGGGGCTCGTTGAGCGAGACTCCCGCACACCCCTCGAGATTTATGCTATCGGTCCTGATGAGCCCTACTGTCGCTTCCACCGCCACCATGGACACAAAACCGACGACTGCCATCAGCTGAAGAACGCCATTGAGAGGCTGATACAGGCAGGCCACTTATCTCAGTTCATCAGGGGCCCTCCTCCCCAGGGCCCCCTTCACCATCAAGGGCCTCCGCCGAAGGCCAACAAATGGGTGAACCCCAACACCATCCCCTTGGGAAACCCACAGGGGAAGAAGCGAGAAATTGGGGGCCTCGATGATGAGGGAGAGGGCTCCCATCAACAATACAAGCGCCATATTCATATGATCAACGGCGGCAACACCGGAGGCGATTCAACAAGCCAAAGGAAGAAATGGGCACAGTCCCTTTACATTGGGGAAGTCAATCACATACCCCCAACTAAGAGGCCGAGGGGGGAACCCATCTTCTTCACAGATGCGGACCTCCCTTCGGGTTCCCTGCCGCATAGGGATGCCCTCGTCATCCGCACTGAGATCAATGATGCCATCATCCACCGAACTTACGTCGACACGGGGAGTTCTGTCAACGTCATGTATCTCAGCACTTTCCAAGAATTGGGACTCGACAGGGGGTCCCTTCGGCACATAAACACTCCCCTCTCCGGATTCACGGGGGATAGCATAGACGCCGAGGGTGTCATCACCCTCATGGTCGAATTCGGCGACGGATCCCATAGAGCCAAGCTCGAAGTGGAGTTCGTCGTCGTCAACCTCGACTGCGCACATAACATCATCCTCGGCCGGCCTGCCCTCGAGGATTTGGAGGCCGTCATCTCCATGAGGCACCTCTGTCTCAAGTTCCCCACACCCACCGGCATCGGTTACTCGAGGGGGAATCAAAAGCTCTCTAGGGCCTGCTACCTTCAACTCACCAAGAAGGTTAGTAAAACTGAATTTCGGA